GTTTCTGGGATATCGGTTATTATCTCACCGACTTTTAAGCCATGTTGTGGTTTCGCTTCGGCAAAGAAACAGCACGAAGACTCCGCAACATGTCTCCTCGGACTCTTTTTAAATGCGAAGATGCTCCTCATTTCTTTGCACGATGGCAACCCCTCGCCCTGCTCATGTAACAGCACCATCAACTCGATTATCTTTTTCCAACTGTTGGGGGTAATCTGGCACAACGGTAACCCCCAACTCCGGAGGTATTCCGTGATCAAATTCGGCAAAGGGAATCTTAACCCCGACCTCAAACTTTCGGCAAAAACTCCAACACAACCCAGAGGAGGACTTGTTATTCTCTCCCCGGGGTAAGGGGCGAAAATCTTCATCGAAGGTGGAATCCGCACTTGTTCTCGCAGCATTACCACATCAGCATCGGTCAGAATACTCGGCTCGCAGTCGAAATCGATCGCAGGATCAGGCCATCTTCTCACCGGCCTCCTCCAATGAGGCACCTCAACGGCGGCAGCGTTTTCTTCCACCACGCAGTCACCATCTTCATCATTGGGCGTGATATCTAAATGCCTCACTAACATCGGATCCCACCGATGATATTCAAACGATAATTCAACCAATTCCGAGTCGTGATATACTTCCAACGGAACCGACTCGGTACTAGAAGAACTCGCCACCGCCTTACCCTTTCCTTCGACGACATTGACAACACAACAAGAACAAATGTGTAATAAAGAAATGAGTAAAAAATCGAAGGTGAAACTTACTAAAGAATCAACAAGCAAACGGCGCACAAAGGATCGCACAAGGGGTAACTCTCAAATTTGCAAGGATTATTCGACAGTAGAATCAATTGTTGCAAGAACTCAAGAATGAAAGCGAAAGTAGAAAAGTTTCTCAGAAATCCAGTGCCCTATTTATAGCCCTAATTTCAGACCGTTAACATTCCTAATCGACGGCACGTGTAATTGACACGACTCTTCTTTCTCAAATGGTGCAACCAAGTGGTCATTATTTTATTAAAGTAGCCGTTACTGTGTAAAGCCATTACGGCGCGACTCTTCACGCTCTGCATTTACTCCGTTCGACCGTTGCGTCTTTTCAAGTCTCATTCATAACCACCCGTGATTTGCCCAAATTTTACCAAGTGTTTCCACCTCGGGAACTAGTCTCCATTTCAGAACCGACGATCCATCCTGGTTATTTCAGTTACATCGGGAAACCGAAGACAAAGAATACCCAAGTGACAAAGTTTTACCGATTCGAAGCCTCTAGTTGTTTGGCAATACCGATGGCCATCACTCCGTATGCCCACCGATATTGGGGGCCTCTCTGTTATCATCCAACTCGGTAAAGCACAATTAAGGACCTTAACAGCACCATAAGCAAAGTTGACTCGAGCACCGACGTAACTCAAAGTTATCCCGGTTCGCACGATAAACGAGTACGACCTTAGAAGACCGAAGTGATCCCTACCGGCTGAGGTCATTCCAAACCGAGGTCAACATGAACCGAGGTCGTCATCTCCGAAAGCAGGTGACAAGGCGCCTACACCCCCTATCACAGTCTACGAGATTTATCATCATTCACGTAGGGCCCACTGATACGGCTGCCCATCAAAGTAGCCTTTTTTAATACACGGATCCCAATGTATGTATCAAAAAGTTACTATAATTAGCCCGCTAGTGATACCTGTACGGGATTCGAGACCGGACCCACAAAAAAGACAACATTTACAATGCAACACGTAACAGCCCACAGAGGTTTTTCACCTCGGTCCACCTCGGACCGGGGCCACTGTTGAGTTTTGCTTATATGATTTATGTCCACACCACTCGTAATTATCATATAAATCCCTTATTAAATCGTTGTTAAGAATCATACGACAACACCTACTTTTAAGCAGTTGGAAAGAAGATAAATGGGGAATACACAACATTTTTCTTCCCGTTCGCACTCTAACATGGTCCCAAATCAAGAAAAAAAAGCAAAAAAACTACAACATACTACAAGCAGAACAAGTCACTACAAGAAACACGATCCTGGTCGTTCATTTTATCAAACTCATAAAAATAAACAACCACTCTATCAGCAAGATCAGAAAGAAACGCATCCATATGTATAGTGTGAGTGTTATATACTGAATGTTTGGCTTATGATGATATTACACTTTTACCCTTTATGAATGAGAAAAATGTTTGATTAAATAAGTTCTACGTTCTGTTGTTTTGCAATTAGATAGAGTGGGTCTTCATCGGGTGAACCAAAGAAGATTATTCTATCAGTTACTTGCGAAACAAGAATTGTGGTTTACAACCTAGATGGAAATAACACCCCATCCGAACAATTGTAGTGTCAACGGTACAATTCGTCTTGACTGATTAGTTTCATTAGTACATTTGTGTATTGAACAGGATCCCATAGAGGAGAAGTTCGTTTTATACTAATCGTCGTAAACGAAGAAGGCCTCGGTTAATTACTACGTTCTCTTAACCCGTAAGATATTAAATAGACACATATATGCAGGATATATTATTTTGATCCACATGGGTTCAATTAATTGGATTAATAGTCCCACTTTCTTGGGTAATATTACAGCTTGTATGATGTGCTGTAAGGATATTTACGGTCACCATGTACGTTTAGTTTGATGATGTTCCCGAAGTGAGTTAATGAAGGATTATTATACTAAACCATGCAGGTGGATTAAATTCCGACATAGTAATAATGTAATGAACGAGCGCTAACTTCGGTGAAATAATAATAAATTAATTATTTTTTATTATCAGTAATCAAATTAATTAATAGACATTACATCTTAAACATGGGGAGATAATACGGGTAAGTATAATTAGAGTCTCAATTGTAAATTGGGCTAGGAAAAGGGAATGCAATAATATTATGTTAGTAGCCCATAATATTATTTAATTAATTAGAGGAGTGGGCTTAGCCCACAGTTAGTCTAATTAATTAAGGAGCCATATTTCTAATCTTCAAGGGTCCATATTGTAGCTCTATATATACACCATTAAACTCATGGAAAAGAGAAGAAGATATTATAGTTCTTCTACGTGATATATACATCACACACGCCTCTTTCCTCTCTCTAGATTCCTGTTCGAACTTTATTTTTTTCTTGTTGCTCCACCAATACAAGTTGGAGAGGTGTTTGAGATATACAGTAGAAGATTCTGAGGTAATTGAGATACATATATTCATCAACCCCAGAGATCAACCGAGCTGACGAGTTACGACCCGAAAGCCGCGACCCGCCGAC